AAAAAACTGTGAGCTAGAAACAAGAGCAAATATTAATAAGCATCTAAAGCATATATTTAACGTCCAGAAAAGATAAATAGTATCTGATTCCAATATATAAAAGTGACAGGCTCTGAGAAATAGGAGTAATTATTTCCTACCATTATTTCTGAATTACTACAGAAATGCACGTTGATTACTTCACTTATTATTTCGTTAGAAACAAATAATTTTAGACCAGAAGGTTCACGCAGCTTATTAATGAGCTACAGAAGGCAAAAATCTAGAAATATAATAATGATAACATTATGCTGGATATTACAATTTACATTTGGCTTGCTGGAAGATGTAATTTTTACTACGCAACTCTCATACACAGAGCAGAAAGTCCCAAAATAAGTTTGATCACACTGAAAGTGCTAACACTAAATCAACACTGGGACACAAATAAAGCAACACTATGAGACAAATAATTATTTATTAGGTTTTTATATTTCTCTTTCTAAAGCATTTGGAGACCTTCTGCCTACATTTTCATGACAGAACTGTAGAGAAGTCTCAGTGACTTGTCTTAAAGAAGAAAGAATAGAAAGAATAAATTAGCAGATGCTCCTTAAAGGGAGATGAATATATTTAGAAAGAGTTTTCCTACTTATGAAGGAGAATTTATGAAAAAAGACATTTTCAGCTCATTTACAGGTAACTCAAAAGAGTGGCTGAGTTTAACTTCAGAAATGGCATTGAAGGCAACTTCAAAATGACAAAAAACCACTTCTGAGCATTGCAAAGATGACCCTTTTGATAAGAGCTCTGGTTTTGCAAAAGATGAATGGGTTACTCGTATTCTTCTTTGAATGCAGTACTTAGTTGTCTCAGTAATTAGTTTTGAATTTTAAGTATCAAAAACATATTGAGACAGAGAGAAGGTTTTATTTTTTGTTTCAGAAATCACGAAGCTAAATCAAAGATAATCAGTTCTTTCAAACATCATGACAGAGATTGTGTGAACACCTCTGAAGTATTTAAAAACCAGTTAGGACATGCTTGAATGCAGACGTATTATCAACTACAGTTTATGCAGTTTCTGCGTATGTCTGTCCATACTTTGAACAGAGAAATCCAGTTGCTTCAGGCCTGGGTCATGCACTCCTGAGCACCCACACCATGTGCATGCTACTTTATACCAGGGCAGTCTTCGGGAGTGAAACAAGTAATTCCTTCTGAGATGTAACCCATTATTCTGGCAAAAAAAAAATAAAATGGCTCTGGCAATAGAACTTGAGAGTAGGAGCTAAAGCAATCCATGATTTAGATAAATTCTTACAATGGAAAATACAACTAACTTGGTTCCTATTAGCATGTACTATGAGCTGGATGAAGTACCATCAGTAAAATACTCAGGAAAATATTCAGAATAGTAAGTTATTAGTGCTAATGCCTTTTTTTTGTTACTTTATCTTGTTTCTAGGTTAAAATAACCTTTTTGTTTTAGAAGTTAGTGAAGAATCCCACAATTCATATAAATCCTTTTATCAATGATAATATAGGTGTCAACTGAGGACAGAAAGGGTCCTAGAAATGGTCCTCTAGCCACTTTCAGGTGGTTCCTTAACCCTAAAAGCTTCTAGCACCTTCATAATGCCAAAGACATAACACCAGAGAAGATTCCAAAACAACTGCATCCTAGAGTTTTATCAGTACTGGTTTGCACTGATATTTTATATTTACTTATTTCATATTTCCTCAAAAAATATTCCAGAATACTTCTCTTTTTTTGAAGTTAATTTACCATTGGATATTTGGTACTTGAAAATGTATCAGAAATACGTATTCATCCTATCTGGTTCTACAACTGGGGGATTCAGTCCCCAAATCTACTGACAGAATGAAAATTAGCAATTTGTTTACTCTGAGCTTCATATTTTCACAGCATCATATAATATTCCGAATTAGTAAAGCATAAAGAAACTGGAAATGAAAAGAAACACATTTGTTTCACTGACATATTGAATTAAAACACTGATGGCATTAGATGCCTACAGCACTGATTAAATTTATTCTAGCCATGAAGCAACAGTTTATGATTTTCACATGAATAGCATACTTAAATGAAAGGAACATTAATACAATATGATATTAATATACAAATACTCACATTATTCACCTGCCACTGACATTCTGAATTAAATCAGTAATGGGGTGTATAACTGATTAAATATCTACACAAGAGAATGCAACAGCTTATGATTTACAAAGGCAATGGTAGAGTGATCACATCATTACGTTGCCAAATGCTATCTATCACTTTTACTGAACTTAACGAAGATGGATTGCATCCCACAGACGAGATGCAGCCTATAAATATTGTCATGCTGATCTTCATCTGACTTTCCCAGGGAACAGACAAGCAACAAATCAATAACTGAAAAACTCAGATTAGAGCTCCCTCATTATTGCAGAAAAAAACCAGAAAATAAAAATACTAAAGAACATAAAGTTTAAATTATCCTATAGCTGTTGCTACTGACTTTTGGTAATTTATGTACTATTTCCCAAGTTTCCTAGATTTTTATCTCCTATCTTCTACTTTTATAGTTCTCTATACAGTTTACAGTCAAAACTTCTCCAGTTGCACCAATTATATTACCTTTTTCTTTTAATTTAATATTTTTACCAACTCCTTCTATTTAGGAAAGTTGTAAAGCAAGAGCGACAGTCAACATTACAATTTTTTTAAATACCGAAAAGCCATCAAAGTAATAAAACTGAGGATAAACAGCACTTCAATATCAGAACTTTGGAGAAGTTTTAATGTTCAGTACTTTACATTAAACATCTGCTTGATCTTTATTCATTCCCTGAACTGACTTTCGCCATTTACCTTTCAGGATAGAGCCTGGAGATGATACTGCTTTCTGTCAATCTGGTTGTGGAAGATTATGGTGCTCGATAACAGGTGGTCACCATCTGATCGAAGGTGAAAAGAATGCCTCACAAGCAATAAAACAGCTGAAGAAAAGGGTTTCCAGTTCACATATCTAACTGACTGCACAATTAGAACTTGAAATAATTCTTTACCCTTCTACTTTGCTCTTCAAGTAGCCATAAAGCAGGAAGTCTTTCTGCTAAACAAGAATTCTAAGACAGGAACAAGTTGCAATTAAAAACCAGCAAGATGAGTTCCATTTGTCTCAAAAATTAGAGGGTGATTTAATTTCTTAATTGCTTCTGTCAGTCACATCTAAAAACAAGCCATCATATATTCTAACAGAAATCTTAAATATCAAATATGGCATAAACTACTCTGAACTGTAATAACCAATTATTTCATTATCCTATTCAGCCTAAGAATAGCGGTTTTTTCTAACAGCATATGTAAAGCTAGCTAAAATTATTTCATCAGTCAGCACACACTTGTATCATTTTCCGTCTCTCCAAAATATAAAACCATGCTTTATGCAATTACCCATTAAAGATTATTAAATGTATTAAATAGTATAAACAAAGGCTTTGGATTCCTCAAGGCAAAAACTAGCTTGAGTTCAAGACACTACTAACATCTCCCTGGATGTAACCTTATTATTCCTCCAAACTTACTGCAGTAGCCAGTACTGTAAAGAATGAACATTTGTTGGGAATAATCTAAACAGAAATAAAATCATTTTAGAATCCTGGAAAAAAAATAATCCATTGTTTCTGTAGAAAGTATAATACAGAAATCTAAAATCTGCCAAAAGCCTTATGAGGAGCGGCTGAGGGAACTGGCTTTGTTTAGCCTGGAGAAGAGAAGGCTGAGGGGAGACCTCATCACCACCTACAACTGCCTCAAGGGAGGTTGTAGAGAGGTGGGTGCTGGTCTCTTCTCTCAGATGATGGGGGATAGAACAAGGGGAAACGGCACCAAGCTGTGCCAAGGGAGGTTCAGGTTAGAGAGAAGGAGGAAGTTCTTTACTGAGAGGGTCGTCAGAGGCTGGAACAGGCTGCCCAGGGAGGTGGTGGAGTCACCATCCCTGGATGTGTTTAAAGAGCGGGTAGATGAGGTACTTAGGGATATGGTTTAGTGGGTAGACAGGAACAGTTGGACGTGATGATCTCAGAGGGCTTTTCCAACCGAGCGATTCTGTGTGTGTGTCTGTGTGTGAGCTAAAGAAAAAAAAAAAAAGAAAAAAAAAGTTTGGCATCTTCTTAATGACAACTAAAAATTCAGTCTACGTGCAAATGAAAAGTGAAAATACGAATGCAGGGTAATTGTTGAAGGAACACTTCTAATACATTCAGCAAAAATAGACTACCAGGTGAATATCTCTCTGCTTTAGTCTACGTCAATAAAGATATATAAATACTGTATGTAATTACTTTATCTATGAAATAAGTACAGTGTGAAAGAAAGGCAGGCA